ACAAACAACTGGCAACTGAGGAAACCACAACACTAAGGTTATCTACAAGCAAGGCACCCACCCAGAACCTAGATCACAATCAAAGCTCCTATAAGCAAAACCAAAGATTCTTACCCAAAATATGCTACAGCCAAACCCTTATGAGTGAGGGGAAAAAAGAGAAGCCCATTTAAACAAAAAATCCAAAACTAAGAAGCAAGAGCTGCTCCAGATGATAAGGAATCAGCAAAAGAACTCTGGAAGTATGAAAAATTGAAGCAAAAGGACACCCTAAAAAGGGAATACTAGCTCACTAGCAAAGGGTATCAACTAAACTGAAAATATCGAAATGACAGATAAAGAATTCCAAATATGGATTGTAAGGAAGCTCAAGTAAATCCAAGAGAAAATGGAAAAGGAGCTCAAAGAAACCAGAAAAACATGAATGAAAAATTCACTAAAGAGATCAACATATTAACACAAAACCAAATAGAACTTCTGAAAATGAAAAATTCATTTAAGGAATTATAAAACACAGAGGAAAGTTTAAAGAATATACTAGACCAGGCAGAAAAAAGAATCTCAGAGCTTGAAGACAACTCTGTTGAATTAATTCAGTCAGTCAAAATAAAGTACACAGAATTAAGAGGAATGAACAAAGTCTACAGGAAATAGGCTGTCAATGTTGCTGTCACTTCTTCCCAAACTGGTCTATAGATCAATGCAACCCCAGTCAAAATTCTAGCATCTTTGTTGTAGAAATTGGCTATTAATTTTAAAATTCATACAAAATACAAAGAATTTAGGATACACAAAGCAGTTAAAAAATAAAAACAAAGTTCTATCTGATTTCACAAACTTGCCACAGCACTGATAAACAGAATTTTCTGTGACAATGGATAAGTCCTATATTTGTCTGGTACCCTATATAGTATTAGTATTAATAGAAGAGAAAGTGAAGAACATACAATTATTTCTTCATTTTTCACCTGAGAAACTGGATCATGATGTACTTTTTTCCTGTAAAGAAGTTGGAGAAAAAGAACTGTTTGGGGTGAATAGTCAAGGGTTCTGTTCGGACAGCCTCATTTTGAGATGCTTATTAGATATCAAAGTAAAAATTTGAATATTTCAGGAAAAGATTATGGTAGCTTGGACAGGGATGGTGATGGTGATAGCAGTGATGAACTTGTGAGACATAAACTAACTGGAGGCACTTTTAGAAGTTTACTAACCCTGGAGATCCATTGGGTGGGGAATGAGGAATATTGAGATGCGTAGATGATACCAGTTTCTGGCTCGCACAACTGGATGGATGATGATGTTTCTCCATGGAAATGGACAGGATTTGAAGGAAGATCATGCATTCTATACTGAATATTTAAAGTGTAAAATACCCATTAGATATCCAGGATGTGATGTCAATCTGGCAGTTGTACAGGTGGGTCTGGAAATGTAGATTTGGGTATCGCTGGTATGTGCAAGGTAATGGAAACCATGGTCCAAAAAGAAAATAATTGTCTAGGTGGTGGATATAGAGTTATAAGAGAAAGAGGCCTAAGACTGGGCCTGGAGAGATTCCAGTGCTAAAAGACCAGGTAAAGTATGCTGAGCCTGAGAAAGAGAATACTGAGAGGCCCAATGAGGTAATTTATGTGGAAAGTATTTTACAATTTGTAGAGGTCCAGGCACATGATAGTTTTAATAATTAAATTAAGCCTGTGCTTCTCAAATGTGCATATGAGTGCCCCTGGATGGAAGCTGATTGAATCAAGGAGCTCTTAAAGCCCCAGGATAAATAGTGATACATTTTGCTTGCACATGAACTTTACTCAAGGGTAAGTATTTTAAATATTATTTTTATACGGAAACAAACAGATCTATTATGGAGTAAAATGGAAAAATCAAGTCAACTTACAGAGTATAATATAAGAAAGACTTAAAAGAAATTTCATACTTGAGATAGGATACATCTAGTTATACCACTAAAAATTCCTTCCACCGCCTACCTGTTTCCTTACGTCTTGTGTTCACAAATAGTGTGCAGTTGGGGATGTTTGAAAAACACTGCATGGTTAGAGTCTTTCTGGTGATGAAAAACTCTTTTTCTCACTTTCAACTCAACATGGTGGCAAACAATGGTACTTTGGAAAAGATACTGGTCCTTTTCATTTATAATTTTAAAAAGTAACTTTATAAAAACATTCAAACAATAGGTGGAAAAGTGCAAGGAGTAAAGCAAAAAAAAAAAAATTCTTACCACTCATAAATCACCAAAGTTAATATTATACAAATATCATTTCTGACAATTCTCTTTGCAAGTATACCAATGGTAGGATAGACATTTAAAGGCAATTGTTTTAAGATGATACTATGAACCGAATTGTGTTCCATATGGTGAATGTGTATATGAAAATAGGGTCCGTAGGGGGTAGTGAGGGTGGGGCCCTAAACAGATAGGAATGTGGCCTTATGAGAAGAGAAAGAGATCTCTGTCTCTGTCGTTGTACCATGTGAGGACACAGTGAGAAGGTGACCATCTGGAAGCCTGAAAGAGAGGCCTCGACAGACTCCAACCACATGTGCTGTCTGATTTTAAAGTTCCCAGCCTCCAGAATTATGAGAAAATAAATTTCTGTTGTTTAAATCACCTAGTATATGGTATTTGTTATGTATGGCACCCCAAGGTAAGACAGATGAGATGATACTAAGAAAACTTTTAATTCAAAGTATAAATTTAATTTTATTGGAATTTAAGAAAAAAAAAGAAAGCAAAATGAGACAAAAAGAAATTATTGAAGGTTCCTAGAGGAGAAACTGCCTGTTTCTTGATACATACAGTTAAATTGTTTGTATTAATACAAACTTACACTCTCTTTACAAGGAAATAAGAATTCACGTTTTCAATATATCCTTGCCTAAAATGAATATGTCATTTAAAAAAAATTTTGCACTTTTTTTCCCAGTGAAATATTGTGTTTTGTCTTAATTTGGATTTCTTTGATTCCTGGAGAGGCAATCATTTTTTTTTCATTTTGGGATAATTTATATTTTCTCTTTCAAATATTATGTGTCACTATATTTTTTCTGTTTTGTCATATTGAAGTCTTAGAGATATGTAAACTAAACGAATCAAGAAATTAGAAAATCACTCTGGAGCAACCATAATGATAATGATTGTTGGAGACAAGAATCATCAGTGGATGCTACAGTTGCCCTTTACAGAAGGGAACTGTTTTGCCCAAAGCTATCCTCTGCCAAGTGATAGTCCCCATCCAAAAGCCATTAGAGTTTATATGGGACTGGATCCTGAGGTGTTGAATTAATCAGATAAAATATTACATTGAAAAAAGAGAGTTTATCAGTATGAGAGAGTTTCTCTAGGACACAGGATTTAAAGCCCTGGCAAGGGCTCCAGGAGAAAACACTAATGTGCTTCTAGAATGGGGCTGTTGAAAGCTTGGGGAAAAGTGACAGCCCACAGTAAATGAAGTAAAAGTGCAGAATTGCCATGGAAGATGGTGGAAGAAGGGATTTAAAGACTCAAAGAGGTGAGCATGCTAGAATACCAATTAACTATGTTCAGCTGGGGGACACTTTGTTTGTCAAAGCAATAAGTTATATGCTAGTGAATAAGGCATGAGGATCATTAGAAGATCAATAGTAGCAGAGCTGTTTCTGAACTAGGCTCCCTAGTAGAAATGGGGATAAAAAAAGATTCTGAAATAATAAAGACAATGTGGGAGCATGTAACCATCAGAAGGAAAATGAGCAGAATTATATTAGGGAGTACCAAGTTCAGAGTGACAGGGTCTAACCTTCATAGATCTGTAAAGTGTAGTGTTCCTGTGGGTGAGATAGATAGGTAGTCAGTAAGGGTATGCTTAAATTATTTAACCAAAAGAAATTGAGCATGGGTGATTAGAAGCCTGAGGGCTCTTGCCCCAATTAAAAAGTCATGATTTGAGGCCAGATGTGGTGACTGATGCCTGTAATCCCAGAACTTTGGGAGGCCAAGGAGGGAGGATTGCTTGAGGCCCGGAGTTCAAGACCAGCCTGGGCAACATCGCAAGATCCCATCTATAAAAATAGTAAAAAAAATTAGCTGGGTGTGGTAGTGAACACCCATAGTCCTAGTTACTTGGGACGCTGAAGCAGGAGGATCACTGGAGCCTAGGAGTTCGAGGTTGCAGTGAGTTATAACTGCACCACCACACTCCAGCTGGGTGACAGAGCAAGATACTATCTCTAAGAAAAAAAAAAGTTAAAAAATAAAAATACAAAGTCATGATTTGGACCTGAACCAAGTAATTTCAGAGAGAGGAAGAATGATGGGAGCTGAAGGAGAGAAATTTATCTTCTGAATGGTGGGATTGCAGATAACATCAGGGCATAGGACATGCTGTCAGCCTTGAATAGGAAGTTCTCTTCCCTCTGCTATGAAGAAAAGGGTCTCAAGAATAGATCCAGAAAAAAAAAATAGAGAGAGACATTCTTAGTTGTTGCCCAAGGTTGGAAACTAAGGAAATTCACCATAGTGATTCTCTGTAAAGTAATAGGCAAGGTCATCTGTACATAGTAGATATTGAGATTTAAGGAGAAAAGAAGGGATTTTTAAAATTGGTACAAGGGAGATATTGTAGGACAACAATTTAAATGATTTAAAGCAGGATCTCACTGTGTGATCTTACAGAACATCCACATCAGAATCACCGGTGGGTATTTGCTGAAAATGAAGAGTCCCCTGTCCCACTCCAAACCTATGTAATCAGAAAGAAGAGAGAAGAAATATGCATTTTGGTGTCCTGTTCAGAAGACTTTTATGACCACATTTTTCTTAAAATCAATCAAATTGAAGAAATTCTGAGTTTTACTAAGTATTCAGATGAAGTTAGGTAACTTGAATTTGTATATGAAACATTTGATTAATCTGACTTTTATATTAAGACCAAGGAATTAAAAAACTGTCTTTAATGGTCAATAAAACTAACCATTTTGACTTTAATGGTCAAAAAACTGACTAATGGTCAATAATAAAAATATAATTGATATTGTGATAAAGGCTAGTTAATGACTTGTGGGAAGGGGACAAAACAATGGAAGGATAAGAAGATAAAGAAGTTTAAGATAGAGTGGAAGAAGGAGAAAAACATTAACAAAAGAGAAATTTTGGATAAAGAAAAAGAGAGATAAAAAGGGGAAAGAATTGAAATCAGAAAGGGAAAAGAGGTACACAGTTACACAGGAAGAAATATTAAGGATTAAAAAATATGAGAAAGGGCTAAGTAGATTTGTGGGGTTACTATTAGCATAGCCTGCTTTCTAATTTAGCCTTCAAAATAAAATATCACATTATTGCCACCTTCTTTGCAATTCTGATTAGCAAATTGGCTACTCTTTTTCCCAATTAGGAATTTCAGCCAGCAATGTGTTGGCTAACCACAGGAGTTCCCAAAAGGAAGATGTTTTTCTGCAATGCTTTTTGCCACAGGATGGCAAAATTACACCCAGATCTGATTCTCCTGCAGATTCCCTATTCTGACTAGCTCCTAGGGCTCAATGAGCAAGGAAGACCAGAAAAATCCGACATGGGAGCTATGGACAGTTATCATGGTTGGTAACCTAACATACGAATCACCAGGTCAGTACTTTTTCTATTGGAAATCACTTGTTACCTAGGTAACCAATCAACTTTCTCTAATCTGGATGCTAGATCCCTAAATACATCATCACTCCTTATTTATATTTCTCTACAGAATATATTGATACTAAAACTCTTCATTTTTACCGGCACAGCACTCCTATGTTATATCGTCTAATGGTGATGCCTGTTGCAGAGAATTTAGTGCCTACTTGACCAATGGTATGGAGGCTTTCTTAGAAATTCCTAAGTGAGAATTTGAAGTGCAGAAGTGAAAGCAATGAGAAGAATTTGTTCTTCCAGGCATTAAAATTCAGATTCAGTATAAATAAAACTGTGTTTACATGATGATCTTTGATGGAGCTGGGTGAGATTCAAAGAGGCATCTGTTGGAGGGGAAAGTGGAATTTCTTTAGCCAGAGCCAGAGTAGACCTGTGGCCTCTACGTATTTTGCTGTCTTTACCACACTTCATCTTCATGACCAGACAGCCATCCCTCCTTCCTCTCTTCCCTCCATCAAGATTCAGAGTATTCTCTCATGAATCTTCTTCTTGTCATTTTTATTGTTAACTGATTGGATGAAGATAAAGATGCTTCCAGTGGAATGGGGGCAGCTAATGTAGTTCTTTTTTCCCCAGAGATGGCCTACTTAACAGCTCCCGAGCAATGCACTTTGTTCAGCGTCTGGTTTTAGACGAAAGAAATTCTATACTGTTACTATAACTTCATAGAAGATAACAGTGTTAAATAGAGCTAGATTGATTTTTAAGTGAGTCCTAATTATATATTGTTACTGTTTCTGAGGACAATTTGAAATTGTACCAATATTCCCATATCACATTTTATGCAAAAATAAAGTTTAAAAAATAACATGCAATCTTAAAATATACTCTTGCTTTGGCTTAGTAATTCTGATTCTAAATACCTGTCTAAAGAAAACAGGGATACCACTAATGACCAATTTACCAATCATTCTCTTTCTTCCCAGGCACATAGCTCACATAGGTCAGTCTCCTTTGCAGTTAGGTAGAGTCAGGTGACTGAGTTTTGGCTAATGAAATGGGGGAAAGGTGATGTACATCACTTTAAGACCTGGGCTATAAAGAAACCTTCCATTCAACCTTCCAGGCTCTCTCCCTTTCTCTATCTATGTCACTCACTGAGCGTTGCAGAGGATAAAGTCCTAGAATAGAAGATGGCTGACCCACATAAAGGAAAGTGCTTAGGTCTGGGACTAACTCCATGAAGGAGAGTTCCCTTGACAACCGGCATTGGGCTGCATGATTGAGAATTCAGTTTTATTATGCCACTGACATTTTTCATTATTTTTTTTTACAGCATTTAGCCTACTTTCACAAATATACAGGCTATCAAGACTTTAGAAGATTGAGAAGGGAGTGCATAAGGATTAGAAAGTAGAAACAAAATGGTTAATGTTTGCTGATATGATAGTCTGTATAAAATGCCCAAGAGAACACCAAGTATTAGAAACAATAGCAGAGTTTAGTTATATTTCTGAAAACAAGATAAATATTCAAAATAAACATTCAAAATTGATTTATGCAAAATCTATACTCAAGCATCAGAATAAAAAATTATATTATAAAAAAGGTACTGTTTATAATACCGATAAAACCTATATGGTACTAAAGAATAAATCTATTAATAATAAAAGATGGGAAATATTTAAATGGAGAAAAATTAGAAAAGATGACCTGAACAAATATATAAAGAAATGTATCAAAAGGAGTTTGTTTATGGGATTATGGAGATGGGCAAGTCCCGGGATCTGCAGGGCAGTCGGCAGGCTGGAGACCCAGGAGAGCTGATGGTTTAGTGCTAGTCCAAAGTCTGGAAAGTTTGAGATCTAGGAAGAGCTAATGTTTCAGTTCAAGTCTGAAGGCAGGAAAAAAAGCCAATGTCCCACTTTGAAGGCAGTCAGCAAAGAAACAATTCTCTCTTACCTGAGAGAAGGTGTCAGTCTTTCTATTCTCTTCAGGCCTTCACATGATTGGATGATATCCACCCAAATTAGGAAGGGAAGGGTAATTTGCTTTATTCAGTCCACCAATTTAAATGTTAATCGTATCCAAAAACTCTCACAAAAACATCCAGAATAATATTTCACCAAATATCTGAGCACCGTATGGCCAAGTCAAGTTGACACACAAAATTAACCATTACAACAAGTTTATGGATAGGAAGTTAATATTACAAAAATAGTGATTCTTACCAAGTTGGTTGGAATTGAATACAATTCTAATCAAAATTCCATTTTTCACAAGATTTGGAAATTCATTCTAAACTTCAATTAAAAGAATACAGAGCCAACAGTAACCAAAAAAATTTTAAAAAGAAAAACAGTAAGAGAGAGTTCTTTTTACATTTATCTGTGTTAGTTTTCTATGGATGCTGTAACAAATTACCACAAAGTTTGTGGATTGAAATAATACAGATATATTACTTTAGAGTTCTGTAGATTAGAATTCTAACACAGTTTTTACTGGGTTAAAAATTAAGGTGTCATAAAGGCTGTATTCATTCCTAGAGGCTCTAAGTGAGTTATTTCCTTTCAGCTTCTAGAGGGTGCCAGCATTCCTAGCTCATGCCTCCTTCCTTCATCTTCAAGGCCAACAACCTTGCATGTTTGTTTGTTTTTTCCATTCTTCTGCAGTTGCATCTCCTTCTAACTCTGACTTCAGCTGGTAAAGGTTCTCTTCTTTTAAGGACTCACAGGTTAGCTTGGGTCCACCCAGGTAACCCAGGATAATCTCCCCATCTCAAGTTCCTTAATTTAATCACGTCTGCTTCAAAATTTCTTTTGCCTTGAAAAGTAACATAGTCACAGGCTCCAAGGATTAGAATGTGGACATCATTGAGGAGCCATTTTTCTGCTTACCAAAACCATTTATCAGACGTAAAATAATAGTGTAAATAAACAGTGTGGTATTAGTGTAAGACTGTAAAAATAGAGATCTAGAAAGAACAATCATGTGTATTAGGGAATTTGGCCTATGAGAAAGGAGACTTGCAAATAATAGGGTGAAGCATAAATTATTCAATACCTGACATGGTGATAAGATAAAAACAGATCCCTTATTATGCAAAAAATAAATTTAAAAATAATATGAAAAGGGAAACTATAATCTCTTAAAAGAAAATGTTAGCAAATACCTCTATGACTGCAGTCCCCAACACCTGAGCCATGGATGAGTGCGAGTCCATGGCCTGTTAGGAACCAGGCTGCACAGCAGGAGGTGAATGGCAGGCAAACCAGTGAAAATTCATCTGTATTTACAGCCACTTCCCATCGCTCACATTACCATATAAGCTCTGCCTCCTGTCAGATCAGCAGGGCATTAGATTCTCATAGGAGCACGAACCCTACTGTAAACTGCTCATGTGAGGGACCTAGGTTGCGAGCTCGTTATGAGACTCTAATGCCTGATGATCTGGGGTGGAGCTGAGGCGGTGATGCTAGTGCAGCAGAGTGGCTGCAAATACAGATTATCATTAGCAGAGAGATTTGACTGCATGATAAATGTGATGCGCTTGAATCATCCCCAAACCATCCCTCCCCCACCCCTGGTCAGTGGAAAAATTGTTTCCATGAAATCGATCCCTGGTGCCAAAAAGGTTGAGGACCACTGCTCTATGACATTATTTAAAGAAGCATTTCTTTAAAGCCTTCAAAAGGCAAAAATCATAAAGGAAAAGATCAATAAATGTGAGCATTTTAAAATGAAAGCAATTTCTTGAAAAAGATATCACAAAGTGAAAAGACTGACTTAGACAGTAATATTTTGCAACTATATCATAAAAACCAATAAAAAAGAAGACATACAAACAAAAAGAAAAATGAGCAAAGGATATGAACAAGAAACTCACAAGAGTGTAGTCAATAAAATATAAAATATGCTCATATTGTTCCTAGAGAAACTGAAATTAAAACCTCAATGAGATATAATTTCATAATCTCATTAAGTTGACAAAAATTAACTAGCGGGAATATATCAACTGTTAGTGACAACGTGAGGAAAAAGCAATTCTTATTTATTGCTAATGGTATCTTAGAAGGGAATTTGGAAACACGTAATTAGGTTGAATATGATCATTCCATAGGATCTAGCAATTCGACTCCTAGATTTTTCCTCCAGAAAATCTCTCTTCTATGAGCTAAAGGCTGTATGTACAAAAATGTTTGTTTCAGCATTGTTTGTAACAGCAAGAAACAAAAACAAACAAAAAATTCTGCCATCCTATTAAACGAGGGCGATCTAGCAGCTACTGAGGACTTGGACTGTAGCTTCAGGAGGGGAATGGGCCATGCACATTAAAGCGATAAAGGAATGCTGTACTGCTGTCAAAACCACATCTATCAACATGCATAAATCTTAAAAACATGTTAATTAGAAAATTGCAAAAGGACAAAAGGATATAGTACGAAAATTGTTAAAAGAAAGGATAATGCATAGTGCTCAGGAACACATACTTACGTAGTAAAATACAAACATACGCACAAGAATGATACAAAACAACTTCAGGTAAGTTTTCACTTCTGAGGACAGCTGAGGGGGAAAGGATGGCAGGATGAAGCTATAGCTACATAACATTTTGCATCTATAAAAGAGGGAGATATCAAGGATATAATGAAAAATGTTAACATCTGCTTAATCTTGGTGGTGGAAAACAAAGGTTTGTTATATTCTGTACTTTTCTGAATTTTTTATATTTCAAATGAAATGTTTTATAATTTTTTTAAAAGGAAAGAAAAGCAGAGGTTGGCAAGAGACGAGAGAAAGGCCAAGCAGTGAAAGTAAGAATTTTCCTTGAACTGAAAATCATCCAGTACTTTTGTCAACAGGTATTTATTACAGATTTGCTGTGTGACTTATCTTTGTATTAAGAATCTTAACAAAATCCTATATTTGAAAGCTGTGCCAGTAATAATTATACCGGTGTTATTTTATAGTGGAATACTGTGCCTTATGACTTCAACCAGCTGAAGTCAAACCCAGTAGGGATGCTTTATTTTGTGTAATACAGGCACATCCAAGTCTTTAGTGATTGTTAGATTGTTCCTGTGTAATTGGATGGCTGCTGAATCTTTTAAGGACATACCTCTGCTCATTCACTCAGCTCCTTCCTCATCATTCAGTGAAAACTAAACCATCTGTTGTAATAAATATAAGGCTTCCTGCTCTCAATTCTGTCTTCTGATCCCCCTACTAAATGCTGGTTGTCACTTTTAATTTAGAAAAACATCATTATACTCCCCAATTCCTCCTTTAGAATTTTCCTGTGAGGATCTCAAAGCCCTTCATCCACTCAAGGGAGGCATTGCAGTTTGTCCAGGGCACTCAGCTGTGGTATTAGCCCCATTTTATAGACTGGATAAGCAGAGATTTCAAAAAGTTTCTACACTTTCTAACTAGCACTTTGAAAGTTAGTTAGAGGCAGTCACGAAGCAAAGTATGAGTTGCTACTCTGAGACCTAAAATGTCAACACCAGGCAGTGCTCCGTGGAAAAAGTTTTAGAAAAATGTTCGCAGCATTAACATCCAACCTGACAGACTCTGTGTCAGCTACAGCTGACAGGTTTTCAGCACTTTTCCACTTAGAGGATGTGGGTGGTCTCCAGGCTCAGAGGCTGGCAAAGCTGGCTAGTGAATTGGATGGGACCTAAGGAGGAGAGAGGTGCTTGGGGAAGAGAGGGCTGTGGGTGGTGGGCTGGAGCGAGGGGAGGCTTTTGCCAATGAAACTGGACAGGAGAGCGGAAAACCTGGACTGTGGGAAGGAAAGCACAAAACTGGCTATGAGTTAATTAAAAGAGCTGGGATTTAGAGTTGTAATATAAAAGGCAGAAAAATCCTTATTTGTAAATAGGAAATGGGAAGTTTCACCTTAGTAACCATAAAACAAAGAGTTTAAATGTGAGCTAATTGGTTCTCTTAACATACGTCTCATCCTTCCTTTCTTTTTTTCTCCTCTCCCTTTCTTTCCTCTTTTTTTTTCAGAATTCTCTCTAATATCCATCAAAGATGGTCCATGGGATATTGTTAAGAGACAGCTCAGCCGTTTGACCCTCTGGGATCCTGAACCATGAGATGCTCTTGTCAAGTGGTCCAGAGACCCCAAATAACATGATTCACCCCACTCAATTAAGAAATTTAACTTTTCACTTTCCACTCTGTTAAAAAGAAAATAAACCTCTTAGCAATCTGGGACATACCCAGGTCTTGAGCACGAATCCATTGTTTTTAAGAAAACGGTCTTTGTATCATGTTTAGGTGTTAGCCTAACAAAAATTAATTAGGATACATTAGAGAACAAGACAATTCATGCCTAAACTGTGCAAGCACAAACTTCTGATTTGTTGACAAAACAAATTTTTCATTCCAGATGACCAGAGGCCACTCTTGTTATTTGAAGACTATATCGATCTGGCTTGTACTCTAAATACGGCCACTCAAAAGAAACCTTATGAGGTTCTGGCTCGCCCTCTTTATTGACAGATTCAGATCTCAACTCTATCAGGCATATATCTTAAGTCTCTTTGTTAGGGACCAGCAATAAATTACTTGAGGTCAAGTTCTGTTTATATAGTAGACTGTTCCGAGAGAATTACCTTCTTGACTTAATAGCTTCCTTTTGGGTGACATTTCTCCCTGAAAGAAGACAAATTGTCTAAGGTCAGCTTGCAGATCAGCTCCGAGTGTAGGAGGAAATTGTAGTGGATCAGCCAAATTGCACCAGCTCTACCAACCAGCATCAGGCAGCACGCCGCCAGTCAGAGGCCCGTCCTGAGGGACTGTGGCCAGCGGTCCCTGCAAGAGTTCTCAAATCTTTCTCTTTGGGCCGCTCTTGACTTTTATTTCCTCAACGCTCCCCCGCCACCCCCATCCCCCATCCCCCAAACTCCTCTATCAACTCTTAGTTCAGTGCTGAGTTGCTTTAAAAGTTTCTTTATTTCCTGCCATCTACTAAGGCTGATTTGAGAGTTTGAATGTAAAGAGAGGGTAAGGCTCTGAGTCCACTTGAGCTTGAATCTGTTCAGTTTTGCCCACTGGAGTGATGGGGTAAACTCTGTCATTTTTGTCAAGGGGAAAACTTTAGAAATTAGAAGTAGACTCAAAGTAATAGATTTGGGAGTACTGAAAACAGAATAATTTATTCTTAAAGGTAAATGTCTTCCAAATGAAGAAATTCAAAAAGACAACTTCTTCATTACATATTCACCTACAGCGGAACTGGTAGATTTGCCATTTTTAATCCTCCTTTAAAGGAAAAACAGAGAAAGAGAGAAAAATAGAAATACAAGTCTCTTTTTAATTAAGCATTTTATCCTTTGAAGTTATTCTGATTTTTTTCAAATTGATGATGTAATTTATGTAAATAATCATCTATCTATGAAAGGAGTGTGTCTGTCAAAAGCTGAAATAAAAAACATCCGTCATTTTGAAGTGATTAACATTCTCCAGATGTTTAAATCATCAGATTTCAGGAGTTTCTCTTTGTTGTGATAATGATATAGTATCCAGAACAAGAATGTTTACTTTTTTGTATGGGTCAAACGCAGATTTTTCACAATCCTATTAAGGCATGCAGTTCATTGTAATTGTATGTGCAGATGAAAGCATATTCAGTTATTATTATTCCCCTTAATTGTAAACTGCTGCTGGTAATTTTACTGTAAAGCTCAAACAAAAGGAGTGTACTTGAAAGGACCACCACTGCCCACTTATGTAATCAATTTATATATGTCAAGTTTGTACTGGGATGGTTATCCCCTTCTGTTACCAGACATGTGACATGCTACCACCCTGCAGCTCCGGGCCATGCACGCATGCCTCTGGCTCCCTTTGCAGGCGGCTTGGAAATACAGTACATGTCGGTGATAATGTTAAATGACAGTTCCAAACCATTTCCCTTAGGCCTGTTTGACCCTTAGGTTCAAGGTAAAACGGGAATGGTTCCGCTTACCTTCAAGGCCTGAGAATCCTCTCCACTGGCGGATTTAACTTGGACTCATGGTGAAGCTCCCTGGAGGTCCAGTGACCCTTGTTAGGGGACCTATTGAAACATTAATGACATGTAGGCACTTCATTCATAAAGTCGGGGCCAACTCCTGTCTAGCATTACCCTCCACACACCCCTGCCGGCTTCAGATCTGAAATGCTTGTAGGGATTTATTAAAACCATTTGACTAGGGCACAAACTGACTACACGCTTATTATGTGCTACCTCAATGCAGACGAGGCTGAGAGGGAGGTCTCAAATCCCCATGTGCCCAGAGCAGTATTGTAGAACTGTATTAATTAGGAACAAGAGATACAGAATAATTTCTCAAGAGCTGTTCATTAATAATAATGTCTCTGGCCTTTTCTGGTCTATTGATCCCCTGACATATACGTTCAGGAATTTAAGACGGTTTTATTCCATCAATGGCCACATGATTCCTCTCTCTTGAACATGCCAACAGAGGGAGGAAATGTCTTCCTTTAGTGTTCTTATGAGAAATCAAAGCACTACAATGGTTAGATAATGATGAGTCAGACATAGAATACCTTCTTTCTTACTAGACTGAAGCCTTGGTAATAGGCTAATAATTAATAGTTACCATCTGCTATTCCTTGTGCCCAAGTTTCAAATCATTCTTCATTTGTGTTTGAACACACACATTCCTTTTAATCATTCCATGGCCATTTAAGTACTTTGATAATCCTTGGGTCCCTAAAATGTTTCCAAATCATCCCCATCTGACATGGGCCCTTGAATTAGAACTTTATTAAAGAGGAAGTGTGTGTAATAAGTGACAAAAGCACCGGGCAGGGAATTGGGTAACTTGGGCTGTCTTCCTTGTTATGTCCAAGCATCAAAGCAGGCGCCTGAGCCAGTCCATTGGCTCAGTCCATTAGCATTCTTGTTCCTATCTTTTCTGAACAAATGTAATGGCCTCTTCTGTCAAAATAATTGAACCCCTCATTTAATGTAACGTAACCCTCATTTTTCCTCAGTTTAGAAGAATATTGAGTCTGGGATTATCGTGGGACCTGAACATCATTCTTTTTCTAAATTAGAGAAAAATATTTGCTTCTAGATTTTTATACAACATTTCAATTTTGTTTCTACTGGATATACAAAGAGTCTAGACTGTCTTGGGTAAAATAAAAAATGTGCAGAGAAATCTAGAGAGAGCAATATCGTTTCCTATTCATCATCATCATCATCATCATCACCATCACAGCTACTCTTTACTTAACATTGATAGAGCACATTTTAACTGTTCATATCAAATTAAAATGAGGATATTATTTAGAAATTAAAAATTGGAACAGATAGGGTAAATGACTTACCCGAGGTCTTATATTTGTTCACTCATTTATTGTGCATCTATTAATACCTTGCTGGGCACTGTACTTTATATTGATAATAGAGCAGGAATAAGACAAGCTCTCTTATCCTAGGAAAGGGGCAGAGCCAAGACTAGAAACTTACGGGCAAGAAAAACTGCTTCTTCCTTTACTTTCTAATTTTTTCCTCTCACACCTGAATCCACTGTTTTTAGCATAAAAAGAATTTTCTGTTGTAATCCATTTGATTTTGACAACCTCATGGAGCAAATGGTGGCCACACTTCTCTGGGAAGGATAGTTAATGGCTGTGGAGGAGAAGAAAGAGCATACAGTTTGTTTTTTCAAATTATTACCCCTTCGCATAATGATAATTGTCTTTAGTGAGATCCAAAACTAATGTCTTTGCTGACAAACCAAATGCTGTTATTGCCAGAACAGCATTTTTTTTTGATAATCCAAAATTCCTGGTCCAATTTTAGGCTTTTGGGGAATTTTGTGGTTATCTTCAAGATATCTAAAAAGGCTAATAGTAAATCTTTCTTCTTGAGCACTTCCTCATCAACAAGCTAACATCATGGACCAAGGATGCCAAAGAGCTTCAAAGTTCATACATATGTGAAGTTGGGCAAACAATGGGGAGAGCATCACCAGGACATTCTCAGGACTGACCAGTCTTTCTAGATCTCTAGCAAGTAATTTAGCGAGAGACTGAGACAAACTTCCTTATTTTTATAAGGAAGTTTTTATAATATAGTACCATATTAAATAAATATCTTAATGAAGTCTGTAGGTGTTCAGTGTGAGTGACTATGGCCTGTTGGCAGAATCAAAATAATATTTTCAGTGATATGTTATGCAAAGAAATTTAACAAAATCCTCTTTCCCTTTCCCTCTCTCTCCCTCTCCCCCCTTTCTCTCCATCTCTCTCTTTCCCTTCCTTCTTCTCTCCTCCTTTCTCATTTTCCCTCCCACCATTTGTTTTCCTTAGTATATTGGTCATGAAGACTCACTGCTTCTCCCTTCTTATTCTATATTAGATCTAATTGTTTCCACAGGTATTATCATATCTAGACCCTAGCAAATATGTCTTAGCTCTTGACTTTAAGTTTGTTTTTTCATTCCCCTGAATCACTGACAGATTAATCTTCTTCATATTCCATTTTCATATTAGTAAATAATCACTACCTAGTATAAAATCCAAACTCCTTTGGATTTTTTTGATCATTTACAAAGATTTCTTTTTATCACCTCACCCTTTCATAACCCATTTCTGTGTAAGTATATTATGTAAGTATATTACATAATACTTTACTGTTAACAGTGTACCTTCACGTCTAATAATAGTCTATGAGAGACTAATAAAAATCTTATATAAAGCTCAGAGAGGTTAAACTACTTATCCAATGTCGTACTTGTATTGAAAGAGAGTGCTTAAGCTTAAACCTTGGCCATTTGCATCCAAATCCTAGATCCAGGGGTTGGCAAACTATGGCTTGAGGGCCTCATGTGACCTGCTGCCCATATTTTTAAATAAAGTTTTATTGGAACATAGCTGTGACCATTTGCTTTTCCACAATGGCGGAGTTGAATAGTTGCAGTAGACACTGGATAACCCACAAAGCAAAAATATATTTACTACTGGCCCTTTATAGAGAAAGATTGCTAACCCTTGGTCTAATGTATCAGAATCTGATCTTTAAAATAATAAAGTACCCCAAAGTCACCCTTTAAAAATTATAAAAGTAATACATGTTTATTGTAAGAACTTGGCAAAATATCAAAAAGTTCTAATACCCACCCCATTTGTCCTTCCTTTTGCCTCATTAAACAGTTGGATCTTAGAGCCAGTAGGTAGGGCGGAGCCTGGGTGGGTGAGGAGTCACAGTAGCCCAGAGCAGGAGCTGTTCTTACCCATTCCTCTTGGAGTCCTAGAGGGATTAGGAGGGCATATTCACAGGAGGACTGTCCTGCATGGGGAGTCAGAGCCCGAGCAGGGTAAAGAAGGCATTCCTGTGGCTGGGCAGCCTGACATGTTGCACAGAGCTCCCGTGGGGTGAGGAGGGCTGCCCTGGGGAGTCAGACACTGAGTGGGAGAGGAGATTGCTATATACAAGGGCATTTTAGTCAAATAAGTAAATATGTCAAGAATAATGGGAGCTAGGTTTCTCATTGTCAGGGAAGGCATTTGCAAATATGAAAAGGGAGAAAACTAGAAAGAAGCTGTGACATTGGCTTGGAATTAAAGACACTGGTATAAAATCATAGATTTCAATAACCATTGATAGATATACAAATAAATACAGAGGTAAATATGTATACAAGTACGAATATTCCCTAGCTGTGTATACTGTGAGGGCCTAAGAACTGTGGCAAGCCAGTAACAATTCATACATATAGCTCTAAAATCTTGGCTTTAAATACCATCCTGAATAAAAGAAATCAGGACTCCTTGGAGAGATGACTCATTCCAGGACTGGGGAAAGGAAAGTAGAAGATGAGCCCAGAATATCTTGTTGTGACAAAGCAAAGAAGTACTTAACGAATGACGGGGGCTTGTCAAAGACACACAGAAACCGACTTGAATAAAGAAGTAACAAACTGAGCATCAAAATAATGTTATTAATAGATTATAACAAAACAAAATAAGAAACTATATGTCCATAGTGATATAAATTAGTAAATTAAAGTTTGATGAGAAATGGGATGTTAGCATAGTGTCAAAGTATCTCCCTATAGAAATGCTTCTTAACTGTTATATAAACAAGAAGAGTAACTTTACATGAAGAAGCCTGGAAGAACAACTTTAATAAAGTGATCCAAGTAAACATCATCTATAATGCTGACAAATCAAACTCATGGGCAACATGATAGGATACAATGAGAAGAGTGCATCATTACTTCTCGTGATATTCCTGCCACGGGTGCATGGCCAGAATCTAATCATGAGGGAGTACAGACAGATATCAGTTGAGGTGTGTGTCTGTAAAATTACGTGCTTGTAAATTTAAAAAGTGTCGACATCATGAAAGTCAAAGAAAGCCTGAGGAGCTATAGGCACTATTCCAGAATAAAGGAGACTAAAAGGGACACGAGAACTAAATACAATATGTAATCCAGACCTGGATTTATTTTGTTATAATATGCATGGTGGGGGGACATTTAGTGCAAATTAAATGGGATTGAGGATTAGATAGTAGTAATGTATCAATATCATTTTCATGATTTTGATAGCTTTCTTGTGGTTAGGCACATAAATGTCCTCCTTTGTAGGAAATACACACTAGACCATTCAGAGGTATTAGGGGATAATGTGCTGGCAACTGACTTTCAAATGGTTCAGGAAATAAAAGTTCTTTATACTACACTTACAACTTTTCTGTAACTTTGAGACTGTTTCAAAATTTTTACAAAAGCCTTTTTTTCAAGTTAAAAGAGAACAAAAGTCGCTAGTGAATTTCCTGACGTTTTTGATTTTTGCAATTTTCTGTGACAATATCATTTTTTTGATATATACATTCTCTTTATATATAATGATGTTAACTGTTTTTTTCTTTCATATGTGTGTGTATGTATATATATATATATATATATAGTAGATATCTTCTTTTCTGCTTATATTGATGTTTCTGTTTTCATTATTCTTAGGAAGCAAAAACCTCCTCAATTGTGATTCATCTTTAAACTTTTCTGTATTGCCAAATGTATTTATTTTATTTAGAGTTAAGTTTAGGAAAGCCTTTACCACCTGAAGTTCAAATAAATATCCATCTATTTATGTCTATTATTTCTAAAAACGTGATTTAGTCAGGAATTATTTAAGTGTACATGTGAAGCAAGAACATAACTAACTTTTCCCCAAAAATAGCAACTGTAAAGATCCATTGTGAGTCACAGTGGGCAACAACATCACAAACAGTAAACTCTGCTTAGTTAAGGAGGAACAATTGTCTACCTCCAGAAATAGAATTTGACTCTATAATCTGGGGGGCCCAATCTGATGCAAAGAAGCTTTCTACCTAGTGGCACTTGTGGTTTTTCTATTGTTTTTAGTTTTTATCTTGAAGAAATAAAAATCCATGCTTTTTTGCAGTACAGCAAAACCTATATTAATAAAATTGCAATAGTTTACATTTTCAAAAATAATACATCTATTCAATAAAATATCTGTAGTATTAAAGGGAAATGTCTCTTGGTTAACTGGAGTATATTGAAAAATCAGTGATTTGTTTTCTAACTTACATCTAAATGAGGTTTAGATGAATCCAAGTTTAGCCTGAGAGAACTTAAGACAAGAATAATTAAGATTAACCCTTTTGAGTGTAGCTGGCACCTTGTTTTCTTTCTCAAATTTAGTTTTTATTTTTATCAAAATATGTTCATAGATTAAAGAGTCAAACACTAACACTAATAATAACAAGTGTGGTAGCCTTTAGTGCTTTTTGCCAAACATTTCCTGCACTCTCTTCACTTTTGAGTGCTTGGTAGGATTGTATGTTTTTGGTTCCCTTAAATTTAGGTGGAGCTAATGAGTTGTGAGTGGAAATGGGTGTGGGGTGTGTCATTTCCAGGCTGGAACATTTAATTACTAACATGAGACTCTCCAGAACTATTTTTTTTCACTCTGGTACAGTAACTGGCAACATTCAAGATGGTAACTGCTCCATCAGGCTGGGTCTATGGGACTATAAGGAACAGACACTGCTGCTATTGGTAGTGGACTTTTAATGTGAGCAAGAAATAAATATTGGTGCTTTAAGTCACCAAGATTTTGGGAGTTTTGTTGCTGCAGCATAACCTAGTCTATCCTGATTAATATAATGATAGTAATGTACTGATTATTATTTTATATTATTTATCATGGATATTTTATGTTTATTTGTTATCATTTTATTATTTTATGTTAGCTTATATTACTTGCTAGTTTATCATTATAATTATTTTAATAGCAAACATATTGTTCTTATTATGTGCCAGGTACTATTCTAGTGCTTTACATATATTAACTCATTTAATGTTAATAATTATCCACCGAAGTAGTACCATTATTATCCCTACTTTACACATGGCAAAACTGAGGAACACAGAGTCTAAGTAACTGGTTCAAGTAAGTGGTGGAACTGAATTTAGAACCCAGGCAGTTGTTTTCGGAATCTAGCATTCTAACCACTGAGGCAGTGATATAAGACTTCATTAGTTTTCCTTTGCTGCATCTCAAATTACCAAAGCTTGGTGGCTTAAACTAACAATCATTTGTTATCTCACAGTTTCTGTGGATCAAGTGTACGGGCCTTGCTTAGCTGGGTTC